TGGCGCGGGATCGGGCAGTGTTTCGTTCTGCTGTGCATGGGGTCGCTATGAGTCGGAAACGACTCGACGGCACTTAACAACAACAACAAGTGTAAACAGTTGCTTGACTCATGTAACCAGTTAGCTAAGGGACAGATGTGTATGTGGAATGTGCCCTATATTTTCTCTCTGCTTGGATTCTTCCCTGTTTGGCTGTGAGTAGTTTCTGCCATGGGTGAGTAGGGGTGGACATTGGCAGAGTTGAGTCCAGGCCACACACAGCCTATAGCTTTTCAGAGGAAAAGCATCCTTTTTTCTAATTCAGAAAGCCTGGATTAGCACCTTGATCAGGCCAGTTCGAGTACCGTGACCACCAGTTCCAGCTACAGCAGTGTGGATAGGGGGGTGCAGGAAGAGCAGTTATCCTTGGAAAAGGGCGAATGTGTGAAGTCCATTTCCCAGATGCGGGGAATACTGACACCTTGCAGGACCGTCACATGCCTGCTCTGTTCCTTCACCTTTACCTGATGTCTGGTAGAGTGGTCTGTAAGGAGCATTGTGCTGGAGAACTCAGAGGCAGTGTGACAGTTATCAAGAGTTGAGAAGACACGAAGGGGATAACACATTCATGGAGCATTTTGAAACATTAAGCATAGTTTTAGATGTCTGAGAGTTCTTGATATCGTATAAAAGTGTTTTAATCATTTTCTCCCCACTTTTTAAATGTCTGCTGAGAAGAGAGGTGTGGCTCTTGGAAGGTGGTAAAGGATGCAGACTGAAGCATGTGTTAGGTTCTGTGATGGGGAGAGTGGTTATCATTTCTCCGTGAGAATTGCAGTGATGCGTATCATGAGTCGGAGTCAACTTGGCCACAGTGGGTTCATTGGCAGTGATGGGGAGGGATTTTCCTGATTGCCTCAGTGACGAAATGCCCTTGCTTATCTCTTCTCCTCTATTCCTGCTGTTCGCAACTCTGTACTCAATAGATGTAAAGCAAAGAATTGTGATATTTTTGTAAATCTTTCAAGAGAGGTGAAAGTAAAGTGTTAATACCAGAACTATGATATATAAAGTGGGAATATAATTCATATTTGTATAATTCCTAGTTCCACCACACTAGCTTAATAAAGATTAGGTGAGTTATTCAGCAATTTCCGAGTCTCAGTTTCTTCAGACATGGTTATTATGAGGATCAGTTGAGATTATGATGTGAAAGCTTATTTTAAATTGCAAAGCATTGTACAGTTGACTTATTTTTACATTTATTTAATGCCATCATTATGCAGGTCAGTTAAATTACTTGTGTGGATGCATGTTGATGTAAGTTGATTTTTGTTTGGCTTTCATTGTCTCTGTATTCTCTGCTACCAGACCTAAAGGATGGTTGAAAGTCATGTTGGTGAAAGGTACCAGTTTTTGATCCAATTCTCCTGATCATGTCACACCCCTCCGTCATGTGTCTGTGTATTTCTTGGTTTATATTCTTTAAATTTTTAAAAAATTTTCATTATGAATATTTCAAACATACAAGAAACAACAGGAAATAATACAGCGCAACAGCTATGAGCCCAGCATAAAACTGTGAATGTTGTCAGTGTCTTCTGATTTCTTAATGTCACACACAGCTGCTTCTGTCCGTTCTCCTGTTTTCTCCAGAGGTAGTTGCTCTTCTGAAGTTCGTATTAAGTATTCCCACGTGTAGTTTTGTGCTTTTGCTGTGTTTGTATATCCAATCATAACATGTTATATTTGAAGTGTTTAAAATTTAAATATATAGAATCATTTTCTTCGTATCATGTTTTTTGGGGAAAAAACCACTTTCTGTTGTAATTGGGGTGAGAGTTTACAGAGCAGATCAGTTATTTCATTCAATAATTTATACACATTTTGTTTCGTGTCATTGATTGCAATCCCCTCAATGTAGCACCATTCCTCCCATTTCCTCCCTCTATTTTTCATCTCCATTCTCCTTCCTCTCTTAACTCTGTCCTTGGGCAAGTGCTGCCCTTTGGATCCCCACTGGTTGATTGCTCTAAGGATTGTGTATCTTCCTAGAGTTATTGTTCTCTTTGTAGACCTGTCTATTGCTTGGCTGAAAATTGAGCTAAGGGAGAGACTTCATTTATAGGTCCAAAGGGTGACCAAGGGCCGTAGTCTTGTTTGTTCCACCAGTCTCTGTCTGACCAATAACCCTGATTTTTTTTATGTGTATCATCTTTTAACTTGGTCTGTTTATTTTTTTAACTTAGTATTATTTTCTTGAGATGTGCTCTACGTGATTTACG